TTAAAATAATCAAATGCTGAATTTTATTATTTATTTTCATTCCTCGGTCCCCACTTTAGAATCCCTCAAAGAGCTTCAAAATATATTTGATTAACGACCAACGAGATAATTGGGCGTGAAGCCCTTTCCTTATTATCAGTGCTCGACCTTTTTACTCATATGTTCGGGAGAGGGTATAAAAAATTTGTTGATAAAAGAAGCGCCGCTCTTGACCATTCCCGAGTTATCGCAGCATCCGAGTTTCTTAATTGGAATTTCAAGCATTTGCTTTTCTTTACTCCCCCAGCAGAATTAAAAATAGGATCATAAATTAACATGGGATTTTTAAATAATTTCGAAAATCAATGAGTACAAGTACTTTTGTTCTAAAAAGGATCGAGCAATAAATTACTGTTTAAAAATTTATTGCCGTGTTGTAAATTTTCGGCTCTCTCGCAATCATTAATTTTACAGCAGTTGAAATTCTAATTACTTTATTAGAGAACAATTTTATTGGGGGACCGCGCGAGTCTTAAAAAAATTTCCTATTATCTCTTTCTAAAGAGCGACACGACCGGCCCGAGAGATACCATGGATTTCACAGGCGGGCGCCCATAAAATTCTAGAGAGAACAAGAAAAGAAGATTCAACCTTGTTTGCCGCCAAATTTGGAAGGCCGACAATAAAATCGGTACATTATAGAAAGCAGCGGCTGGGGGAAATTTTCAAAAAATATAAAATATTGCTGCATGGAGAGGAAATGGAATAAAATTTTGGACAGAGTAGGAAGAAAGAAAGAAAGCACCAAGTAAAAATAAAAGAGATGCAGGTTGGAGATAAAATTATTACTCTGCTGTTGGGACATACGAGAGGGGCGTCGGCCCTTTTACAACCTTATTCGGTGAGAGGCCTTCGTGGAAGAGAATAGAACCAAAATTACAGTTTAAATTTGGATTGAGTATCATGAGTGTAAAAGAGAGAATTTATGAAATACTATTTTAAAATTTAAAGTACATTTACAACAATTTTGTTCAAGTTAACTAATCTACATTTAAAAATTGTTCAATTCAATAATGAAGACCTCATTAATTATTCCATGAGAAGAATTTTACTATTTTACAAAAAACAGAAAGCAAATAAATTCTATGAAAATTTGATTCAATTTATTTGAATTATTCTCGCACCATCTTACTGTTAGAAAAGTGACCATGATTATTCAGGGCGAATCAGAAATTTTGCAATTTGATTCTCTAAAAAAATCTATAAGAAACATTATTAATTTATTTGTGAAGGATTATACATTAGCAATATTTATATTTAAATAACGGAAAGGAAATTCTAATTCAACCATAAATTTCATAACAGGAAGATTTTAAGTGATTATGATACTCCAGCGCTCAGAATGAATTTTTCCTTTTTTCATAATATATGGGATGGGACCAAGAAGTATTATGCTTCTTATATGGGACTAAATTTATAATTTTAGGGGAAAAGGACTATTATTGATTCATTATAAGAGGACAGCGCGAACGCAGTCCTCACTACCAAAAATTACGCGCCCGAGTTACCCACATTTGGGGTAATCGCAGGGGTCAACCCAACCGTAGTGCAATGGAAGGGCCTCACCCTGAGGGAACCGCCTTCTTGATCACGGTAACCCCTACGCCAGGTAAGTATGAGTTCAGCGGCTTGCGTTCGAGAGCCCGGCCTAACAGCCGCGACCGTCAGAGCATCGAACTCCTACCCACTTTAACAACCTTGCTTAATTTCTCGACCCCTAAATTGAAAAATAGCCTTCAATATCCGATCTACATTAACAAATTTCACTGTTAAAGAATTAAAAAAATATTGGTTGAAGTTTGTCAATTTTGGGTTAAATTCGGTTAAACTTTGATTACAATAATGCCACCAGTTATGGTTAGTACACAAAATCGACCACCACGGATTGGCGGCGCTGACGGCGGTCTTAAAATGTGATGGGTTTGGTTGGATTAAACGGATGACGTCATCACAATACGCACTATTATTAGTTCGGTTGTTTTGGATATTACAGTTTATTTTGAAGAAATAATTTATTTAATTTTTTAAAACTAAAAATTGATAGAAAAAGCTCCGATCCTTTAGCAATAATCATAAATTTAATTTAATCCTGAAATTATAAAATTCCTGCGTTGTATTTCAATTTAATTTAATTCACGGGTACTTCCAATTAAAATTATATACATGATTTTGATATATCCTGAATGCAAACTAGCAGTTGTCTCACTTAGCGGGTGGTTCTCATTTATCTTAGATCGACTCTCTCGAAGCAGCTTTTGAATTTATTACCTGGCGGAGGGCAGTGGTAATCATCACAAATTGATTATTGCTCTCTGTGTAACCCGACGCCGAAACGACCACGAGAGCAACCCGCTAATTAAATAAAGTGCTCGGATAAATTTCTCTATCTATAAAGATTTAAAACGAAAATTATTACGTCCTCACGTTTCACTCCGACGGAGAGAATGAAAAACAAACATACACCCAGTTTAAAGTTAAAAAGGCGGTGATCACAAACTGCCCGAAAAGGAAACGCGCGGGGGCCCATTTTCTTATTATTTTTCGTCTCAAGGTATTGAATTCGATCTCTTGCATAGGAAAAACGGGACCACCTTGAAGATGAGAAAGGATTTTCTCTGTTTTAGTCAGAGGTGTCCTCTCCGGGCGCGTTGACACCTTCGGAGATGGAAATCTCAATGGAAATGTGGAAACTCGGCCCATTAATTTTGGTCTCTCTCCTTTGAGAGGAGGTTGTTAATGCGCCTTGCCAAAAGTCGGTGGCTACCAAATGGAAATCTAATCCGTCGGAATTTTTTTATATTCACGACAAGAATTCGTGCGTCTCTATTGCGTGGGTTTTGTATAACTCCAGTAGAAAATAAGATAAAAAAATTATATTTTATTTAATCTCATTGTTTAAATACAGTTCTTTATATCACAAAATAAAATTAGATTAAAAATATGACGTAAAACAACTTTGGTTACTAGGATTATTGTTGTTTTTAGTGTGTTTATAGCGGTTTTCTGGAAGGGAAGTTAAAATTTTAACTTTTTTTTTATTACCACCCAAACAAATATATATATATATATATTTTTGTTTGATTCATAGTTTATGAAGTTTTATAAACAATCACTTTTTGTTATTTAATTTCAGGAATTTAAGTTTTTATTTTCCAAACAATTTAAGTGTAAATCAAGAAATTAAAAATTGTATGTATTTATTTCTCATAGAGTACATTTTTTTTGCCTCGTCGCTGCACATAAAAGAGCTGAGCTTCTTTTCATTAAAAACATAAATAACGAGAATAACTCTTGCCCTTTGTGAGGAAAATCCAGGTGATGCGTGTTTACATTAATAAATTATTTCACGCACAAAGGCGGCATCATGGGAGAGACGTACGCGTTTTCTCTCTCTCTCCTTTTCTTTCACATCACACACACAATCGGCCCCAGAACCTCGTTAGGGCGGAGGCGATTTTATTCTTATTAGATTTCGTTTGTGAGAAGAAAGAGATTCAAAATCGGCTTTTGATATCCATCTCTCGCCGGCTGCGGCGCGCCAAAAACCACAAACAAAAAAGCAAGGCCTCAATTTGGCACATGTGTTTGCTCCGAAGTGTCGATCAGTCTTGACATGGCAGGGCGTATGGAGGCGAAAAGAAAAATAATCCAGCAGAGGCTAATTTAAGTCTATGCGTTGGAATATATTATCTAATTTTAATCAAAAGCTTGATCAGAAAGACACGGCTGAACTTAAATGTCAATAATAAGGAGAAGAATAAAATTGGAATTTAATTTTTAAATGTTTTTTTATTTATTAAAAATCCGATATATTTATTTACAAATTGTTTCATTTAGAATTAAATTTAATATTAAATTTGAAATTTACTTGAAATTTGAACAGAAAGTTTTATTTATCTAATTATACGTATTTATGAGAGATATAATTAAAATTTTATTTATTAAATTTATTTAAACAATTCTTTAAATAATATTTTGTTCAACATTATTTTTAAATTTGCACTTATTAATTTTACATAATTATTGTCATATTAAAAAAAAACATAGTTTAATAATAATTTTAAAGTAACAGATAAAACAGGTTATTACATTAAAAATTTAATATTTCAGGCATTTTTTCTAGTTAATATAGTTTAATTGCAATCGCAAAAGATTTTTAAACAGAACGTACTTAAATAACTAATTATGATCTTTTGCATATTATAATAATCAATTCGTGAAAAACAAATATTAAAATGAGGCTAATTAAAATCAACCCTTCAATAATTTGGTTTTATTAAATTGCAAAACTAGCGAGACTCTTTTCCCATTTCAATTTAGTACTTGGAATCATCAGATTTGCGGTATTGTCTGCTCAATTGCCAATTTCGTTTGCATAAGAAACTTGAATATATTATGTAATTGAATAGTGCCATTTGAAAGGTGATCGTTTCGATCTTGGCCGCGCAGATTTCTTTCTTATCACCGCTTCTCGTTTTTTCAGGGCGCGGATAAAATTCGCTCTCTGATTCGGATCAAGTTCTGCTTTTGAATAGAAAGAAATTGCGCCAACAAGTGCGTGCTGTGTGTGTAAATGTCACGAGAGAAACCGCAACGAGTCAGTTTGAATTGCACTTTAACGCGCCAGATCTCGAATTTTCTTTCCCACTGGTTTTCAAAATGTGGATTTTATTTCGCGAGTGTGTGTTTTCGTGCTGCTTAATTCAGACAGAAAGATATGAAAATACAGAAAAAGTCACTTGGCAATCATGCGAGGAATATGAATTTCAAGCAGTAAATAACGTGACAGTAGACGACAGTATCAAGTTTATCATTATTATGCATGTATGTCATTCCAATGCCAACTGGGCAGTCTTGATGTAAAAATTACAAACATGTTTGGATAAAATTGTATAATATTTGCATAAAGATTTGATTTAAATGGAGAATTTTGAAGTCAACTAGAAAGAAGAAAATCTTACCTTTCAACTGCAGGGCTGTTTGGGTGGACTTGAGGGCGTCGACGGTGACGGCCAGAGGTCTGGCGACCAGAAAGAGGGTGTCATTCTTGGCATCCACCCCTACGACGAACAGTTTGGTGTCGCCAGGGCGGACGAGGGCACACGGCCTGGGCGTGCCGTTGCCTCTGCGGGGTCGGACGTGTCTGCGGGCGACGTTGTCCGCCTTGTGGGGCGGCGTCTTTTCGTGCGCCTTCTTGGGCGTCGGCGGCCGCCACAGGAAGCCGGTCACGCGCAGGGTGGCCAACGTGTGCACCCCCGGCCGTCCCTCCGACTTGTACACGCGTTTGACGCGCAGCTGCGCTTCGTCGCCGCTCGCGTCAAACCCCACCACCTTGGCGGTGAAGATCAGGTCGGCCCTGCGGATGCGCGCTAGGTCGGCGTTTGCGTCAAGAGAGTCGTCCACGATGCACGGAAGCGTGGACGGCTGCGGCGGCGTCGAAGCAATCACGCATGCGCACATCGCCAGCAGCAGAAAATTCATTTTGAGAGGAGGCCCTGAAAATTATAAAAAAATAAATTGAAGGAAAAAAAATAATAAATTATGATGAAACTTTGATAAAAATAAGAATATCATGTTAAATTCTTTGGATTTATAGATTATTTATTATTTTTCTTTAAAATTTAATCAACCAATAAGGAAACATAGATTTTTTCAAGGTGTAAGCAGATGATTTTCAATGAATTTTAACGTGATATAATGCATGAGGTCTTATTGAAAATTGAGTTTTATGTTCAGTCTGTATTTTTTTCAGTTGAATATCGTGAATTTTTTTAAAAATAAGTGCATATCTTTGCAATTTGTGAATTACACTAATATAAATAAATAATGTAAGGAAAATAAATTTTTGAGAATGGCAAATAATTTAAAATGTATATCTAGCTTCTTAAATAAAACTAAAAAAATTAATTGTTGAAAAAAGTCTTGAAAACTATGAAATCAGATGTGTTTGATGGGAACATCTGGACGAGTGAACTGAAGTAAAGAACAATATTATAATAAAACAATATCGAAGTGTTATATTTCTGCACGTTGAAAACTTTGAGTTGTTTGACGTTGGTATTTTTTGCATTTATTAATTTTCAAAGTTTCATTTTACCAACTGACAATAATATTTATCATATTTATGGTAGAAGCAATCACACGACTGCTGATTTCTTCTTCTTTTTTTTTGCAATTTTATGTTTGTTTCTAAGTTTCTTTGCTTTATCTAGAAAATTCTTGGGCAAACCAGTCATACACACCACACATTAATTTAGTTAACTTGAGTGGATATTCAATTGGGGTATTTTTTTAGCTAATATTTTATAAATAATGTGAATTTTAATTGCTTTAAACTTTAAATGATTTTTTTTCAAAAGAATTTTAACGTGGATTCAGAAACTGAGCGAGAAAACCAATGCTCGGAAAAACGAATTAAAATGTCCAAGTTTCAACTATTAATTGAAAATTTTAATTATTTTTAAAACAGATTAAAATTTCTGTTTTAAAATAATTAACATTTCCACTTAAAACTCAAAAATTGCTAATCATGGTTGTCAAAGTTTAATAACTTTAACTTAGAAATGAAATTTACTAAATTTCCTTTGAGCAAAGAAATGACAATCATCAAAATCTCATTCATAAAATATTTGTCTTTATCGATGTCCCCACATCAAAATTATTTTTCTTTGATTATAAAAATGCTCATTTTTTTTAAATAACCCAACTGATTATTAAATGGAATAGAAACTGACCTCTTCAGGGATGACCTTTGCTGGGCAAACTAGACGCAAGTACTCCTTTCTTTGCTTGCACTGCACCTCTCGTCAGCCGGTCTTATTTTCTGATCGCGTAAACAAAGCTGGCGGCCGCGGCATCAGATCTCACGTGCTCGGCGCCGGCAGAGTCAGCCGAGATTGAGCTCTCATCACTTTTCCTCTTTCTGCTGGACCTTCGAGCCCTCCCCTCCTAAGTCCCCTTTCCATGCACGTCCTGGCGCGTGCCTCATTTGCATAGCCCTCGATCCCGACCGCCCACTTGACAAAACCGAGATTGATGCTTTCAATTTCTGCTGTCACATGAGAATATACATAAAGATTGCAATTCCAGATTGAATTGAAATGCGGTATAATAATGCAGACCGGTTTAAAATTCCACCGGTTATATTTTTTAATTTGTCCAAAAAACAAATTCTGACAAAAAAAGCATGATTATACAATTGGACTATACATACTTGAAGGTTTATTTTCAAATAATTTGGATGTTTTATTCTACTTCTCACTATTTCTAATAACGGTTATTTGATGAAAAAAAAAACTGTAAAAGAAATAGTTTTGAAACTTAAAGAAATGATTTTTTTTAGTGTTTTAGAATAAATTGGAATAAATTTTGCGTTAAATTTGAAACGAAATTAACTTAAAATAAATTAAAGATGAGCATGGAAGGTATTCAATTCTGAATTAATGTTTTAGATCAAAAAATTTATGGAACATTGGCTGTTTTAAAAACCATAAAATAGCTGGGATTATTTAAAATTAAATTTAAACATTGATAGAATGATTTAGCTTTTAGATCTTGAAGTTTTGGTATAATTTGTTTTAAGAAACTTTTTCACCTGCCTAGGTGTATTATGTGTAAAATGAAAATGTTCTGTGATTTTGTCGCCTTACAAAGTGGCTTGTTTTCATTTTATTTCTTTTTCTTGAGACGTTTTGTTTCACAAAAAACACAACATAATGTTTCTCTTCTGCTCACTATCTCGCGGTAACATTTCAAGAGCGATATAACGTTTATATTCAGTTACATGAGACGGTTATACAATTTATACATATTTATTGAAATTCGTACGATCGATATACAACACAGTACGCAGCAATTTATATAAACATTTATTATCCTCCTGTTAGACATAATTTGTTTCCAAAAATTCACACTTACATGCCGTTTATGTGTTCCCTACCATTTAAAGTAAACAAATTAGTTTGATTGCAAAATATAAATTAAATTGAATGCATAAATAATTCTTTTTTGTTATAACACGATCAACGATCATCTGTAATTTTTTCCTTTTTTTAATATAAAATTAAATAAAATTTCACATGATGAAAAAAATTGACAAGTTATATTGACTTAATTATAAATTTTCTAATTAAATCAATGTTGCAAGTTTTATTTAATCTTGATACACTTTTCAAAATGTTTTGTAAATTTCAAATTTATTTCTTCCAAAATGTAACCAAAAGGGGCTTAACTTGAAATGAATCATATTTATGTAAGAAAATAATTGACAATTAAAACAGAATCCTCTTGAGTTACATAATATATATTTGACGCTTTTATATGTATAAATTTGAAAAAGGTGCAGTAAGTGTGAAAATTTCGCTTTCGTCGAAAAGTCATATCACAATCGCAGACGGTGTTTATATTTTTTATCATATATCAAAAAAGCATTCTTCATTTTTTCTATAGAGAAGAAACTCAATTATCTTTTTCCATAGGTGTTTAATGTCTGTGAATGTGCTCGGCTGTTATTAAATTTTTTTGTTATTTTCTCAAAGGTATGGTGAGTGGAAAAATAGCGCAGTTTTTCAGCCGCACCTTTCGCGTCTCGTATCATTATCAGTATGTGTGAGTGTATGAAGGCACATATTTATTTTATGTATTAAATTTTATTTGCGATCTCTCGCCCCCTACTCTCAACACACACCAACCTGTAAAACACCAATTTGAGAGAGACGCAGCTCATACTTATATTATAACAAACACCTTCAATATACACACGTTTATTGCGCAGTGTTTTTGAGCTCAACACAAAACATATTAGAAATTTGCTTAGGATTTATCTAAATTCAAAACAATTCCGCCCAACCCTGGATATCCTAACTTTCTAAAAGAATAACAGCCTCGTCAAGAGCAAAAAACAAAAATCGCCAAAATTCATGCATTGGATGGCTTTCAAATATGTCTTCTTTTGTTGCTTAAAAATGTCTTTCTTTAAAATTTCGTAAACGAAAACTGGCACTTGAGGTTAAAGATATAACCACAACTGGCAGGATTTCAAGAAAGTGACCTTATTTAAAATTCAAATGAGATTGCCTTATTTCCTCTCCTGCATTCGCAAACGACACTGCTATCGATTTTTCTATAGCCGAGGCTCAAAATTTTATAAAATTTTCAAACGTTTGTCCTACATTTAGACCTACCCTCTTTCCTATACGCAAAAGGTTACACGATTAACAAGATTTAATAAAATCTTAAACGTGAGACTTACATCGTCTCTTCATAAATTTAGATGAATGCAATTCAAAATTGAGATGATATCACAATTCAAGTTTATACCTGTTTTCGAGTTCATTTCAATAAAATTTTGTAAATTCTTGCCACATATATCAAATTAAATCTTACATGGGAAGATCTTTAAAAACACCCTAAAAAGTTCAGTTAGTACTAATTGCGTAAAAAAAGGAAGCCGTGATAATATATAAATTAAAGTTCATTTAACCGTTCCTAACGAAATGCTGGAAGCTGCATGGACCAAGATTACAATTTTTTTTTATATGTGAATAGCATTTTGAGATTCAGAGAATTAAACAAAAAATACTCATATTAGTAGACTTGAATTTTATACCTGAATTGAAATTCACAATCTAGCCGGGTGCTACAAGAAACTCTAAGTAGGTTAGCCCTGACGAAGTTTTTACACACATTATTTTATTTGTCTTTTTTGAGGTGTGTTTTTTTATGGAACAAGGCACGTACAAAAAACTGACTAATGAGATGGAGAATTTAATTGTTTTATTCTTTTAATAAAATTCGCGTTTTCCCCGTCGCCAATTTTGTACCTTGCGAATCGCGAAAAACGATAAATTTAAAACTTAGTGACGGAGAATGAATATGTTCGGTTGGATATGGGGGTGATTTGGCACATGTTTTACAGAATTTGTTGCTTTTTCACTGATATGGAATGGTTGGTATTTCTCAGCTAATAAACAATCGGCCTAAGTGATTTTGATGGCGATTTATCTCTAAAAACATTTTCATTGAGACATCTTAAAACTGTAAACTGAAGATTTAAAAATTTAACATTTTAGCCGGGATCGTCTAAAATCATTTCCCTTATAATTTGGCTCAAATAAATGATCACTCTGTGAAATTTCTTTTATTAAAAAATATTCTTTTTCTAGAGATTTAAATTCATTTGGCAGGAAAAGTCTAAGCTTAAAAATGCAAATTTTTTATCATGATTTCTGTGAAATTCGGTCAAATTTCAATTAAAAAAATCTTTCTTTAAAAACCAACAACAAAATATTATTATTGATTAACGTTATTTGATCTTAAAAACTTTGGTAAAAAAAATTACAATGTACACCTTAAAAATAATGCTTACATTTATCTCAATAAAACAATTTTCCAGGGGGGTTTCTTTTCTTTTCGGAAGGTCAGAGCAGACGCCTCCTCAGCTCGGCCATGTGAAGTCTGGCAAAGAGCACGAGTCCGGCGCCAATGATGGGCAGGCCGAAGAAGGCGCTGACCAGGTCGCCTGACAAGGTGGGGTCGAAAATGAGTTTTTCGTCTTGCATCCGGACGACGGACCACCAGACCCCGGACACAGGCAATGCCACCGAGGCCGCGGCCATGGCGAACAGGGCCGACTCGGTGGTGCGCAGGAAGTGGCACGTGGCGAAGAGGAAGGGTGCGTACGTGGCGGCCAAAACCCACGGCGTCCACGCGCACGTCGCCTGCTGCCACAGACACCAACACAGCTCCAGCAACCAGTCCCACGGAGACACACCCTGAAAAAGGAAGCAATTTTAAGTAAAAAATTATAACAAATTTGTAATATTAAAAGATATGATATATAATTTTACAGTCTAGATTTCTGTTTTTGATCGAAAAAGGAGACTTTCATGAGATTGCCCTGAAATTTTGTTTGCCGTTTACTGAATTTTGTATATTTTTGTATATTTTTTATTATTATTTATTCTTCTCACTAAGTTGATACAAAAAATTTGAAATTTAAAAAAGAGAAGAAGATATCTTAAGAAAAATTGAATGAATTGGGAAAACGAATTTTTAGATAATTAATTATTTAAAACATTTTTCTTTTTGGAATGAGCGTTCTTATATTTTGTTTTCTTTTCCAAAATTTGTGAGACTTCAATTGTTTATATTCCATATTAATCCAATCAATTTAGGAAAATAAAATCAATAAGTAGCTCATTTGAAATATGAATATTAATTTGCAATTGCAATTAAATTTTAAATTCATTTTTCCTTATAATCCCTCAATATTTTAAAGCAAATTTCACATAATATCCTCCATCGACAAAACTTAATTACGTCCAACAAAACTCTATTCGCCACTAGGGAGCACTTAATTAACTCTCGCGGCTGTGCCCCGATTTTCCAGTTTGTTTGATGGCATTTTAAATTCTCGCCGGTCCACGCAATCGATAGCTGGCGGTCGCGCGCGCGAGAGGACACAAAAGCGCCGCTCTCTGCTTGAGTTTGCCAAGGGTCGTTCGTTTGTATAACACCATACAGAGAGCTGACGCATGCACCAGCAATTAACCAGCACGGAATATATAAAAAAAAATCCACACAGAAATTTCCAACGGCATTATAAAAAGCTGCGGAAAATTCTCTGTCCAATTAAATCTCGTCGTCTTTCAAAATCTTTGCTTGAAAAATAAAAATAATAGATGGGGTTTGTTTCTCGTACAGTTTTTGTTTTGAAATATGAAAAAAAAGCCATTTTGATTACTTTAAAGTCACAAAAAAAGTTTGTTCTGATATAGTGAAAATGGATTTTTAAAGTTTTGAATATGTTTTTTAGAATTTAGTTCCATCCCTGGAATATTCAAAGAAAGAATTAAATATTTAAAATTTAGATTATTACTCCTGATTGACGTTATAAGTAAGATTATCGTTAAAAACTCCAAAGTAATTAAATTCAAAATATTAAATATAAGTGACTTGATTCCTTTGAAAGTAAATTCTGTTATAGATTTGGAAACATAATATATTTATTAAATGTTCTTGATTTAATTATCCTTGTATGGGAAATGGGAAAAGGTCAAGACAAATTTTTTTGGAGAGTATATTTTTTGTAAAAAAAACTTTATTTACTTGGAGACTTTTTAAATCAGAATTTGAGCCTGAATAGAGACTTTTTTTCACCAGCAATATGGCTTTTAAAGTCGCACTCGGGGCGCAAGATTAATGATGTCTGAGAGTGAAACTCGGCGGGCGGGATATGTGCAAACATACACACAAACACATACACAAGCAAAAAATCCTGTGCACTCCGGGCGTTCTCATTTCCTGTGCTCCGTCCGCACGGAGAGAAATCAATTCGTCTTGGGAGGATGTAGGCAACCTGCTCGACACGTGCGCAACGCCGCTTGCATATCAGCACGCAGTTTCTCCTCGCCGAAGCGAAAATCGAGAACAAAAAGAGAAGGAGGCTTTTTCTTCCGGCTTTTGTTTTGCCCAGGCTGAGCGCAGAAGGAAAATAATTTTCGCTCTTTTCTCTCTCTGCTCGCAGAGGAAGATTATTATTTATACTTGCGGTTGAGAAATTTCCATGGAAACGCACTGTGAAGAAATACACTCAGCAATTATCATCATCTTTTTTTTTTACAATATTTTTTAACGTATGCAATAAAGGTTTTTTAAAAAAATTTTGAAGAAAAATATCTTTATTTGCTGCTTTTTTAAATTTTATATTTAAAAGATTTTTCCCAGTAAAATAATGGTTTAAAGAAATTATCAATGACGTATTTCTGATAAATTAAACAAATATAATTTTTTAGTCTTCTGGTGTAAATTATCACGAAAAATTTGACTTTTCTGACTTAAAAACAGCAAAATAATAATAGGGAAATAATTTTCTTCTCAATGAACTGTATTTCTTCTGCTTCTGTATTGAATTAACCGGTCTATCATTTACAAATAAGAAGAGAAAGCCGTTTTAAATTCCCTTCTTTTTTTTTGCTTTGGAAAAACTGGAAGGTAAAATATTCAAAGGTGCTCGCGGCGGTCGCGGCGGCAGCGCTCGTCAAAAGCGAGCCTTTTAACTTTTCACGAGAGGCGGCGGCGTTTTCGTTTGGAAACTCTACGGCTGGCAAAATAACAGCCTTGGCAGAAACTCTGTGCCGTGGCAAATAGCGAGAAACCGAAATGGAAATATATTTGCCCAAGCCTAATTCAACACCAAGTTTGTTCTAGCAGTTAACAGCTTTGTTGATTTTTGTGCGGAAATAAATTGAAATTTGAATACATTTTTGGCAACCTTTGACTTTTCAAAATTTTTAATACTGCTGTTTGTTTACTTTTCCATATTGTTACAATAAATATCCAAAATTAAAAAATAAAATCAATTGTTTGGAGGCAAACACTGAAAACGGCACCGAACAACAAAACTACAGAGAGAATTTTGCTAAAACTTGTGATGTGAGATCAAAAAGACCACATTCGCCGACAAATAGTCGCTACTATTTTAATCGGTTCGTTCATGAATTACTAGAAATAACAAATTTTAACTAATATTTGTAGAAAATTATGGAATTGTAATATTACTTTGATGTTTTCGGCATCGCTTTTTAAATTTTGCACTTAAACAACTGTCTTAAATTGCAAGGTAAATATTAATATATTCAAATAAATTGTAGGTAAAAAGTGTTTAAAAACAGTTTCTTTTGATATTAATTTCGTGATCCAGATATAAATAACTTTAGAACTTAAATAACTTCACAAAATGATTTTTTAAATGAAAACAGACTTTTGCGTTTTCACAATTATGACTTATAAATTAATTAAATAAAAAATTTAGAATCTCTCATGTTGCAAGAAAGCTAAAAAACGACATTATATTCAATGTGGACCTACTGAATTTGCTCAAATTTGGTGCAATTTAGTTTTTAAAGATTTAAGAAAAAAATTTGGATTTTTGCTGAAATTTTTTCTTACACAATTCATCAATGCTTATAAATTTTAATGTTTACTAAAGCAAGTTTATGTGAGTAAAATAAACTTGGGATAAATAGTTTGCTTTTCAACTGTGAAATTAATATAAGAATAAAAAAATGGCAATTAAGGACTCCTTATTGCAATGCTAAGAGTACCAAAGAGGTTTTTTCGATCTCCCATATGCCCAATGTAAAATTTTTGCCCCATGAACTCCCAATTTTTTTCTGCTTATCTGTTTAGGGTCATTCAATTATCATTTTGTGCAATTTTGAGCAAAAAATTTCGGGCAGATTTTTTTTAATCGCCATTAACGAAATTCTCCATAAAACGCCATGTTAAATTTCAAAAAATCATATTTCAAGATTAATCCACGCGACCCCCCATTTTTCCTTGAGCAATCAACTCCACTGGTGGGCAGGAATCTATAAAAAAATCTGGGTCCAAAAATTTCGGGCCGATTTTCCGCAAACAGAAGTTGTAGATGTCAATAAGGAGGCCTTAAGATCATACTGTGACCTTTTTCCAAGAATAAAAGGTCACTGTAAATGGCATTTTGATAAAATTACCTTGAGCAAAACGGTGGCAAGTGCCGAGATGGCGGCAAAAACGACCAAAGCGGCCACTTGGGCGGCGGCCAGCACGGCGGCCACGTCTACTGAAGTCCTCCACGCCGCCTCCTCGGGGGCGGCCCGCGGCAAAAGCAGGTCGGGGGCGGCCGTCCACGTTTCCACGGTGCTCACCAACAGTGCCGACGGTTTCGCCTGAAAGAAAAAAAGAGAAAAAAGTCTGAGCTTTTTGACGAGAAAGGACGAAATAACTCTGTTGGGGGTTGAAAGAGATTGATTGATATGTTTGCCTTTCCGCCAGCAAATGGACCGCTTTCCGGCTCGTCAATGCGCTGTGTTTGTTCGAGAGAGCAAAAAGGCAAACACAATTGCTTTTTGTGAAACACCAGACCATGTGCTGGAAATAATGGAACTGGCTAAAATATTTCTTTTTTTCTGGAATAAGCAAATTCTCGACTATCATTATCTCAGCCTGAAGGGCGAAAAAAAACTTTTTAGACGTTTGAATTTAATTTTCAGCTCTAGCTTTTTAAAATTATCGACTTTCACTATCTCAGCCTGAAGGGCGCAAAAAAACATTTTAGACGTTTGAATTTAAATTTCAGCTCTAACTTTTTAAAATTCTCGACTTTCATTATCTCAGCCTGAAAGGAGCAAAAAAATATTTTAGACGTTTGAATTTAAATTTCAGCTCTAGCTTTTTAAAATTCTCGACTTTCATTATCTCAGCCTGAAAGGAGCAAAAAAATATTTTAGACGTTTGAATTTAAATTTCAGCTCTAGCTTTTTAATATTCTCGACTTTCATTATCTCAGCCTGAAGAGCGCAAAAAAACATTTTAGACGTTTGAATTTAAATTTCAGCTCTAGCTTTTTAAAATTCTCGACTTTCATTATCTCAGCCTGAAGGGCGCAAAAAAACTTTTTAGACGTTTGAATTTAAATTTCAGCTCTAGCTTTTTAAATTTCTCGACTTTCATTATCTCAGCCTGAAGGGCGCAAAAAAACATTTTAGACGTTTGAATTTAAATTTCAGCTCTAGCTTTTTAAAATTCTCGACTTTCATTATCTCAGCCTGAAGGGCGCAAAAAAACTTTTTAGACGTTTGAATTTAAATTTCAGCTCTAACTTTTTAAAATTCTTGACTTTCATTATCTCAGCCTAAAGGGCGCAAAAAAACATTTTAGACGTTTCAATTTAAATTTCAGCTCTAGCTTTTTAAAATTCTCGACTTTCATTATCTCAGCCTGAAGGGCGCAAAAAAACATTTTAGACGTTTGAATTTAAATTTCAGCTCTAGCTTTTTAAAATTCTCGACTTTCATTATCTCAGCCTGAAGGGCGCAAAAAAACATTTTAGACGTTTGAATTTAAATTTCAGCTCTAGCTTTTTAAAATTCTCGACTTTCATTATCTCAGCCTGAAGAGCGCAAAAAAACATTTTAGACGTTTGAATTTAAATTTCAGCTCTAGCTTTTTAAAATTCTCGACTTTCATTATCTCAGCCTGAAGGGCGCAAAAAAACTTTTTAGACGTTTGAATTTCAATTTCAGCTCTAGCTTTTTAAATTTCTCGACTTTCATTATCTCAGCCTGAAGGGCGCAAAAAAACATTTTAGACGTTTGAATTTAAATTTCAGCTCTAGCTTTTTAAAATTCTCGACTTTCATTATCTCAGCCTGAAGGGCGCAAAAAAACTTTTTAGACGTTTGAATTTAAATTTCAGCTCTAACTTTTTAAAATTCTTGACTTTCATTATCTCAGCCTAAAGGGCGCAAAAAAACATTTTAGACGTTTCAATTTAAATTTCAGCTCTAGCTTTTTAAAATTCTCGACTTTCATTATCTCAGCCTGAAGGGCGCAAAAAAACATTTTAGACGTTTGAATTTAAATTTCAGCTCTAGCTTTTTAAAATTCTCGACTTTCATTATCTCAGCCTGAAGGGCGCAAAAAAACTTTTTAGACGTTTGAATTTAAATTTCAGCTCTAGCTTTTTAAAATTCTCGACTTTCATTATCTCAGCCTGAAGGGCGCAAAAAAACTTTTTAGACGTTTGAATTTAAATTTCAGCTCTAGCTTTTTAAAATTCTCGACTTTCATTATCTCAGCCTGAAAGGAGCAAAAAAATATTTTAGACGTTTGAATTTAAATTTCAGCTCTAGCTTTTAAAAATTATCGACTTTCACTATCTCAGCCTGAAGGGCGCAAAAAAACTTTTTAGACGTTTGAATTTAAATTTCAGCTCTAACTTTTTAAAATTCTCGACTTTCATTATCTCAGACTGAGAGGAGCAAAAAAATATTTTAGACGTTTGAATTTAAATTTCAGCTCTAGCTTTTTAAAATTTTCGACTTTCATTATCTCAGCCTGAAAGGAGCAAAAAAATATTTTAGACGTTTGAATTTAAATATCAGCTCTAGCTTTTTAAAATTCTCGACTTTCATTATCTCAGCCTGAAGGGCGCAAAAAAACGTTTTAGACGTTTGAATTTAAATTTCAGCTCTAGCTTTTAAAAATTATCGACTTTCACTATCTCAGCCTGAAGGGCGCAAAAAAACATTTTAGACGTTTGAATTTAAATTTCAGCTCTAACTTTTTAAAATTCTCGACTTTCATTATCTCAGCCTGAAAGGAGCAAAAAAACATTTTAGACGTTTGAATTTAAATTTCAGCTCTAGCTTTTTAAAATTCTCGACTTTCATTATCTCAGCCTGAAAGGAGCAAAAAAATATTTTAGACGTTTGAATTTAAATTTCAGCTCTAGCTTTTTAAAATTCTCGACTTTCATTATCTCAGCCTGAAAGGAGCAAAAAAATATTTTAGACGTTTGAATTTAAATTTCAGCTCTAGCTTTTTAAAATTCTCGACTTTCATTATCTCAGCCTGAAGGGCGCCAAAAATCTTTTTAGACGTTTGAATTTAAATTTCAGCTCTAGCTTTTTAAAATTCACGACTTTCATTATCTCAGCCTGAAGGGCGCAAAAAATCTTTTTAGACGTTTGAATTTAAATTTCAGCTCTAGCTTTTTAAAATTCTCGACTTTCATTATCTCAGCCTGAAGGGCGCAAAAAAACATTTTAGACGTTTGAATTTAAATTTCAGCTCTAGCTTTTTAAAATTCACGACTTTCATTATCTCAGCCTGAAGGGCGCAAAAAATCTTTTTAGACGTTTGAATTTAAATTTCAGCTCTAGCTTTTTAAAATTCTCGACTTTCATTATCTCAGCCTGAAGGGCGCAAAAAAAATTTTTAGACGTTTGAATTTAAATTTCAGCTCTAGCTTTTTAAAATTCTCGACTTTCATTATCTCAGCCTGAAGGGCGCAAAAAAACATTTTAGACGTTTGAATTTAAATTTCAGCTCTAGCTTTTTAAAATTCTCGACTTTCATTATCTCAGCCTGAAGGGCGCAAAAAAACATTTTAGACGTTTGAATTTAAATTTCAGCTCTAGCTTTTTAAAATTCTCGACTTTCATTATCTCAGCCTGAAGGGCGCAAAAAAACATTTTAGACGTTTGAATTTAAATTTCAGCTCTAGCTTTTTAAAATTCTCGACTTTCATTATCTCAGCCTGAAGGGCGCAAAAAAACTTTTTAGACGTTTGAATTTAAATTTCAGCTCTAGCTTTTTAAAATTCTCGACTTTCATTATCTCAGCCTGAAGGGCGCAAAAAAACATTTTAGACGTTTGAATTTAAATTTCAGCTCTAGCTTTTTAAAATTCTCGACTTTCATTATCTCAGCCTGAAGCGCGCAAAAAACCTTTTTAGACGTTTGAATTTAAATTTCAGCTCTAGCTTTTTAAAATTCTCGACTTTCATTATCTCAGCCTGAAAGGAGCAAAAAAATATTTTAGACGTTTGAATTTAAATTTCAGCTCTAGCTTTTTAAAATTCTCGACTTTCATTATCTCAGCCTGAAAGGAGCAAAAAAATATTTTAGACGTTTGAATTTAAATTTCAGCTCTAGCTTTTAAAAATTATCGACTTTCACTATCTCAGCCTGAAGGGCGCAAAAAAACATTTTAGACGTTTGAATTTAAATTTCAGCTCTAACTTTTTAAAATTCTCGACTTTCATTATCTCAGCCTGAAAGGAGCAAAAAAATATTTTAGACGTTTGAATTTAAATTTCAGCTCTAACTTTTTAAAATTCTCGACTTTCATTATCTCAGCCTGAAAGGAGCAAAAAAATATTTTAGACGTTTGAATTTAAATTTCAGCTCTAGCTTTTTAAAATTCTCGACTTTCATTATCTCAGCCTGAAAGGAGCAAAAAAATATTTTAGACGTTTGAATTTAAATTTCAGCTCTAGCTTTTTAAAATTCTCGACTTTCATTATCTCAGCCTGAAGGGCGCAAAAAAACATTTTAGACGTTTGAATTTAAATTTCAGCTCTAGCTTTTTAAAATTCTCGACTTTCATTATCTCAGCCTGAAGGGCGCAAAAAAACTTTTTAGACGTTTGAATTTAAATTTCAGCTCTAGCTTTTTAAAATTCTCGACTTTCATTATCTCAGCCTGAAGGGCGCAAAAAAACATTTTGGACGTTTGAATTTAAATTTCAGCTCTAGCTTTTTAAAATTCTCGACTTTCATTATCTCAGCCTGAAGGGCGCAAAAAAACATTTTAGACGTTTGAATTTAAATTTCAGCTCTAGCTTTTTAAAATTCTCGACTTTCAATATCTCAGCCTGAAGGGCGCAAAAAACCTTTTTAGACGTTTAAATTTAAATTTCAGCTCTAGCTTTTTAAAATTCTCGACTTTCAATATCTCAGCCTGAAGGGCGCAAAAAACCTTTTTAGACGTTTGAATTTAAATTTCAGCTCTAGCTTTTTAAAATTCTCGACTTTCATTATCTTAGCCTGAAAGGAGCAAAAAAATATTTTAGACGTTTGAATTTAAATTTCAGCTCTAACTTTTTAAAATTCTCGACTTTCATTATCTCAGCCTGAAAGGAGCAAAAAAATATTTTAGACGTTTGAATTTAAATTTCAGCTCTAGCTTTTTAAAATTCTCGACTTTCATTATCTCAGCCTGAAGGGCGCAAAAAAACATTTTAGACGTTTGAATTTAAATTTCAGCTCTAGCTTTTTAAAATTCTCGACTTTCATTATCTCAGCCTGAAGGGCGCAAAAAAACATTTTAGACGTTTGAATTTAAATTTCAGCTCTAGCTTTTTAAAATTCTCGACTTTCATTA